GTTTTGGTGGACTAAAATCTTACCCGGTAAGTAAATAATAGTGTTAACTTTTAAGGGTAAGCACTTACCGGGTAAGTATTTGGTAAACGGTCCCTCACTTATAAAAACGTTATTTGAAATAGAATTTTAAGAGTTCTTTTTAACAGTTTTTGTAAATATACCCTGATTAATTTTGATTTTATTTATTACTATTTATTTAAAAAAAATTAACTTAGTGAATATAATTTATGTCACATGTAAAAATATACTGAGAATTATAATTAAATAAATAAATAATATTTATTTATTGTCTTGAGGCAACAAAAAAGTGGAGCGTTGGGACACAACACCACAAATAGACCAAACACAAAAGTATTAAAAGACGAAGACAAATATTTTAATTTCACAACTTTTAAAAAATATTTATAAATTATTTATTTCCTCAATAAAAATATGTATTTTTTATTGATTAAATGCTATTTTAAATAATTCATTTTTTTTTATATAGAAATTAAGAGTACATTCAATTTTAGTAGTGGAAACAATTAATGGGTTATTTGGTAATTGTTGAATGGTTTGATGCAGAATGATTAAATGGTCGGAATAATTAAGAGACTTTCATGATATAATAAAAAATGAAATATAATTGTTTGGTAATTGTTTACAATGAATTTAGGATGCTGAATGGTTAAGGGAGACCATGATACAAAACCATCCAGATGGTTTTTGAACCATTAAAAAACAGATTTTGTTTTACCAAACAAGATTCATCTCTTAGCGATTCACAAGTTGCATATTAATGAAACTATTAAGAGGTAAACAAACAACTACTAAAACAATGGTTCTCTTTCCTAGCTATTGAGTTTTATTAAATAAAAATAAATAAAATTGGAGATCTGTAGTTTTCATTTCTTGTTTTATCTGTTTTAAAATATTTGCTGGAGCAAAATAATCTCCGATTTTGAAAATGTAAGTAACGTGGCAAAAATAACAAGCCGAACGTGGATAACAAGGCAAAACAAGTTTGAGTCAGAAGAAACAGAGAAAAATACAATATATTGTTTGAGATGCTCTGACACTTTATTTTGTCGAATATTTTCAAGATTTATCTGTGATAAATACGATTACAAAAACTATATTATTAAAACTAGAAGGGTAGTCGACACAATGCAGCAAGATACATCTCGATTTTAATGTTATATTTTATTTTTTTTGTCTTTGTCGATGTTATAATACAATTTTATGTGTTTTTAAGAAAGCAATAATGATTTTATTTTGAAATAAAACATAAATTTGAAAATATCACAAAATTTTGAAAAAAAAATATCAATGTTAATATATCAAATCAACAATTTAAAAGTTCTCATTTTTTATGTAATTTTTTTAATCTATTTTTTATTATAATTTAATTTAAGTTTAATAATAAAATAATTTATTTTTGGTTTAATAATATAATATTTTATAAAGATAATATTAAGTATTCAGTTAGAATTTAATGATTATCCTAATTATATTTTAGATTTTTTATATTTAAAATAAGATGTTTATCCTATATTTGATTATTTTTATCTGCAGTTAGTTACACGAATTCAGATATAAAGCCTTAATAAGTTGTACTTACGCACAATCTACGTGTAATTTTGTGTTTTAAGTAACATGCATTAATAAACAATACTTTATGAATAAAAAGTAGATTTTAAAAGTTTTTGTCAAATACTTTTATAATATAGTATAAAATAACGATTTAAATTTTTTAAAATATTACAATTGATGATATTGTAAGCATTTGAATATATTTTTAAATCTATTTTTTAATTAATTTCATTAATTTTTTAACCGTTAAAGATAAAAACCTATAATTTAAATCGGTTTATCTATAATATATTATAAAGCATTTGATAAAAACTCTTAAAAATCATTTTTTATGCATGAAGTATTGTTTGATGATGCAGATTACTTAAAATTCAAGATTAAAAGTAAATTGTGCGTAAGTACAACTTACTAAAACTTCATGTTTGAATTCATATAACTAACTGCAGATAAACATAATCAAATAGAGAATAAATATTTCATTTTAAATATAAAAATCTAAAATATAATTACGGTAACCATTTACTTCTAACAAAATACTTAATTATTATCTTTATAAAAATTATTTTAGGAAACCAAAATTAAAAATGAATTAAAGAAATACACAAAAAAAGAGAAATTTTAAATAGTTAGTTTGGAACTAATATCAATATTTTCTTTTCATTTTTTATGATATTTTCATATTTATATTTTTAATTCAAAAATAAAAACATTATCATTTTCTCAAAACCATATAAAACCATATTATAACATCGACTGAAACAAAAAAAAACAAAACATTAAAATCGAAATGTATCTCACTGCATTATGTGAGTACCTTTCTAGTTTTTAAATAAATGATTTAAAATAAAGTCTTGATAACAAACAAAATTATACAAAATACACAATAACTTTTATCCATTTTGTTTAAATTAAAAGCAAACAATATTTACAATACAAAGTAATAACTCAAATACAATGCAATAAGTTGATTCAGTAACTTATAACATAACTTAAAATCATGATAAAAGTTATTGATAACACACAACTTAAAGCTTATAAAAAGCACATTTTTTTAATGTCGGTGGAACGAGTTTATTACAATAAAGACAATAGAGATTTAAAATCTTATATTATGAAATAAAAAATATTAATTAAATAATTATGTAATTATTAAATGCATTTTTAAATTCAAACGAAGATTGAAAAGTTAAGTGTCTTTTACGCAATGCACATGGTGACACCAACGGTTCATTTGAGTAGTAATATTTTTGTTTTTATGTTTATAAAATATTGTTTTAAGATTTGTTCAAGTTTTTCAAAAGTATCAGGTTTTTTTTTTAATTAACCTGGATATCCGACTTGTTATGTGAGCTGACTAATCTCAGAGCGACTACCTGCTTTGTAGATAGTCTGGAGTCACCGTATTTGAAACTCCGTGGTCACAAGAGAATTTTTATTGCTCATTGGATTTGAACTTGAAACCTCCTGGTACTTTTGACCTTTGGAGTCAAGCTCAAATCAATCAGACACCACCTTTGTGGTTAAAAGTATCAATCGTTTTTATGGTTTATATAAAATTAATCAATAAAAATCTATGACGGGTATTTGTGGCCACGGAGGTTTAAATATGATCACTTTGAACTATTCGTTTTAACAAATTGAATATCCAGGTTAATAAAAAAAAAACACAAGAGTGGTGCCTAATTGGTTTGCGTTTGGCTCCAAAGATCAAAAGTACTAGGAGGTTTCATGTTCAAATCTAAAGAGGAATAAAATTCCCCTTGTGGTCACAGATGTTTAAATGCGGTGACTCCAGGATATCTGCAAAGCAGATGACCATCCTGAGATTAGTCAGCTAGTATAACGGATTGGATATCCATGTTAATAAAAAAAAACTGCTATTAAGTGAGTATTGATTTCATGTGATATCAAATAAACCTTTTAAGAGTTCATTTATTATCTATGAATTTATTAGTATATGTTAGTACACATATAATGGGTGGACCAGAGTACGAGATTTTCTTTTGAGAATTTTTTAAATCGTGATATTTTTTAGAACCAGTATATTATGTGTTATTTTAAACGATTTTTTTCATGTATGGCTAGAATTTAATGTTGTGGTTATGTATATTTGTTTCGCATGTATTTGGTTCTCAATGTGGACATTACAAAACCGACAAGAATCTATAACCATTATCCTGGCAAGAAACAAATTATTGTGCACAAAAAAAATCTCTATGGACCACAAGGGTGGTGCATGATTGGTTTGAACATGACTTCAAAGGTGAAAAGTACCAAGAGGTCACAAGTTCAAATCCAAGAAGGAATAAAAATCCCCTTGTGGCCACGGAGGTTCAAATGCGGTGACTTTGGGCTATCTGCAAAGCAGGTGATCGCCCTGGGATTAGTCGGCTCGCATAGCGGGTTGGATATCCAGGTTAATAAAAAAAAATCTCTATGTAGATCGTTATGGCCCTACAATAACGCCTACTTCCACTGTGTGAGTTGACCTAATCCACACATAAATTAATGTACAACAGAACATGTTCAGTCATTTCTAATATATAATATATAAACATGTATAATTTGAATCAATAATGACTATCATATCAATCAAGTAAATTTAACGTCTTTTAGACAAAAAAAAAAAAAACCAGTATCAGCATTTCCATAAACTAGATAAATTATAAGAAATATAAATTCATATATAAATTCACATTAAAGTATAATAAATGATCAGTAAGTTTATATTATATGTGTCGATAATTCAAATTTAATATTACCAAATGAAGACGACAATTATTGTTATAATATTGTATAGATAAAATATTTAGTTTTATATGATTAAATGGTTGAAGATAAGCACGTTATGTTTAAGAGGAAAAGAGCCTAACATAAGACGCAACTTTAGAGATTAGGTGAAGTGGAGCTACATTCATTCTTTAATATAACATTTATTCACCCTCTCTTCCTCTTCATGTTCCCCTTATATGATTAATGTTTCCAACTCACCCAACTACTAAATAGAGGAGCTTATAGATTGCATCCAACCATAACTTAAGGTTGTTTGGTTGCTTTTCCATCATCTTTTATGGATTAAGCTGTCTTTGAATTAATTTACTTGTATATATTTGAGAGAGTTTTTTCCATATAAAGAAAGAACATCTTTTTTAATTGAGAAACATGTTTGGAAAAAAAAAAACTTGACTTTCTAATAGAACTCCTTTTTAGAACAAATCATTTTCTATATCATTAAGCCTACTATCAAACAAGTTCTATTAAACTTGTGTAATGACAAATATATATAATGACCTAAGGTCTCCTTAAACTCATTAAACTACTCTTTAACTCAACAATCAGACACATCTTCAGCCAAAAACCTGGCCCATGTTAGACCTTAAAAGCCCAATCAGCCTAATTTTTTTGGAAAAGCCCCAAAGCCCACCCTTCTTTTTTGCTTAAAACGGGTTTGGACTTTGTGCATCTGTTTGTTAACCGGATGTGGTTGGAAAGAGTTGTTTGATGCAACTCAAAATCATACAAGGGAAGGATTGAGATACTTTCTCTCTAAATTTTTCTGTATTGATATGGACAAAAACTAATAACATCCCAAGAATACAAGATGAAGGGAAAGGAAAAAAAATTGATATATTGCTGCTTGCTAAAATAAAAGGTCCAACATGGGTCGCTTTGTACAACATGCAGCTGTACATCTCCAGAAACATGATTTGATAATATCGTTTGCAAATCAACATATATCACTTCCTATTGCTGATGGAACTTGTTTGTTTGTACATCTATTCTTCAGTATTATCTATACACCTCTATGTCATCTAAACAAAAGAATCACTCTTTCACCTGCTGCTGCATTTGGAACAACACAACCATTATATTCAAGTCATTTTAATTAGTTTGTTAACATATCTGGTTTTGTAGAAATCTGAAAATACATACCTTTAAACCAAGAGACTAATCGAGAAATTGCAAGGGTTGTGACAACGAGACGCTTGGTGTTGATGCTTCTAAGCCTTTTGCTCCATGTACTGCAGAATGTAGCACCTTGTATTGCTCACACACAGAATCATACAGTGCCTGTGAATAAGCTGCCTTCGCCTGCATGAACTCAATGTGTGTCAAATATGCAACGAGTAAACCATATTGTGAAAGCCGAATAAATAAATTTAATATCCATTTCTCAGGTGAGATCTAGGTTTAGGTAGTAGAATAGAAAGAAACATTTCTCATAATTAATAGACAAGTTTAGGAAAAGTAGGAGGAAAAAAGAAAGAAACCTTGATGAAAATGGTAAGTCAGAATACATAAAACTTTTATGCATTTATTATAGACCATTCATGATTTAATAATCCATATAGGCATGCAAAATTATGTAACACCAACCTCCTCGGGGGACGCACAAGAAGCAGTAGCTTTCTGGAAATTAATTTCGGGTCCCACTGATATTCCGGTGCCATGAAAAGAGATCAACCTTTTCTCTCCAATTTCTTTCTCAACCTATCCAAAAACAATTTCTTTTAAAGGTAAATGGAACAGAGAAAAAAAGGCATCTGAACCAACAAGAACATACCTGAAGAGGAGGGGGCATGATGTCATGGCACAATATGGCTAAAGGATATATATGACCCACCAATCCGGCATGGTCCACGAGCCTTCTCATGTTGTCCAGCGAAGTGGCATCAAATGGTGCCTGTACATTTTATATTTAGTGAATAACATTACAAGCATTTCAACAATATATTGTACAAAATATTCAATAATATATATGCTAATTCAATAATAAAGGTCATATCACAAACTACAACCTCAGAGACCACAATATTCAATGTAAAAGGTAAGGGAATGGGGAAGGGGAAGAAAGAAAGTAAGGAGGAGGATTGAGGGTTCATGTCTACTCCTTTACATGTAACATCTTAGAAACACAATATAACAAGGATTCTAAGGGTTCACATTTTAAGAAAGAGCATCGAGGGTAATTACTTCACAGTTGTAATAATGGAAATGTAAAAGCAACCCCTTTTTATTCAATCACCACTATATGATCAGTCCTGGAATTTCAGCCGTTATATAGGGAACTAACACCAGACCTTACTCCATGTGGTATTTACTATGTTTGTTTTGGCTCTATCATGAATCAACAATAATATCCCACTAATAAAATAAAATAATCATATAGATGACAAGAATAAATCAACAATAATATCCCACTATTTCTAGAATGATCGTAACCAGACAATCCTCCTCGTTCTCCCCTCATCTGAGTAGATTGACCTTGAATTTTAAGATGTTGAACTAGAAATGTCAGATTTTTTTATTTCTAACTTCAAGTTCAATATTTTTGAACTTGGCAACTCCTATTATGGGTATCATCATCTTCTACCTTTGATTATTCAATTTTGTTCTCAACATTAGATTTCTGATTCTTTTTCCACCAGTAAATTAGAGACGACATACATCTCCCAATGATAATAACCATCTCACGCTTGCTATGGTTAGCCAATTACTCAATTTGGAAAACTTGTAATAGCAGTAAAGATTTTACCGGAAACCACTGATTTGTGTTAGGATCTGGCCTGTCCCTGCCACCACTTGGTGCAATCCATATTATTTTAGATCCACCCCTAGAATTCAAAAGATACAGTTATTAAACATTTTGAGGACATTATTGAGCATGACAAGAACATTAACAATCAGATTAAACAACAGTAAAGTTGCTCGAGTCATAGATGATCAGAGCCTCAGAGGAGAAAATAAAAGGTAGACAATAGTCACATCCACTTCACAAACATAAACGTCTCAGCTTTCTTTGTTTAGTCAAAAAAGCCTGAACTTGGAAGGCAACTATATGGGAGATAATCAACTAATTATAACTGCATTAATCCATTGTAATTTAGTTCAATACCATAAAGACTAAGAAAAGTGCAAACGTCATAAACCCTATGGGGAGGGAGGATGCATAACTAGAATTAGAAACACTAAAAGCATGAAAAAGTCAGAATGAAAGGATGTGTTAATAGAAAACATGAACCACACCCCCACTTGACCGCCACTTTACATGATACTCCCTCAGTCCCAAAATAAATGTCCACCGTTTTAGAAATGTGCAACTGTTACACTTTTAAATTAACTAAATGACGAATGGGCCCTTAATAATAAAGGAAGTAATTTCAATTTCTCCATCTCACAATCAAGGGTAGAACTAGAAAGTAGGCACTTACTTTTGAAAGGGAACACTTATTTTGGGACAAACTAAAATAAAAATGTGGACAAAGTAAAGGGAGTACAATGTCTTCAAATAATTCCTTAAAAAGACCCCCTCCCCCAAAACAAAAACAAAAACAAGACCAATAAACTCAAGTATGCCAAAATAAAATTTCCAACACTGATTGTTGCCCTGGAGAAGAGTGGATTCTATTCTTTTATGCCAAAGGGAACTAAGCAATAGCATTTTATAGCTCTATCGTAGTTTCCTCCATCAACTCTTCATGTCCTCCACATTCAAAGCCATACTCTATTGCATGTATGAAGTAAATGAGTTAACTAGTACATCATGAGTTCATTAATGAAACCTCTTGGAGTTTCCTATTCAACCTGAGGTTCTGAAAACCTGACAGGAACCAGCCAGACTGGGAACCAGGGTAATCAACTTAAAGATATTGTAGTTACTAATCAAGTTATCACTTAATCCGAACAAGTTCAGTAATCCACTCAACACTCCTCAGCCGATCCCTTAGCTAGGTCATAGCCCAACAGACTGCCATTTTCATAGCTTGAAAGCAAGTTGCAAAAACTGACATATTATTAAGGGGTGATATAACAAGGTGTCTGATCATGCCATGCATCATTAGAATATAAATTACATGAAATGGCAAGAGAAAAGTGGCAATCAGAGTTGCCCACATAAAACATGCATTCTTATACCATTAAAAGGAACATTCAGACATAAAGATAGCCGATACCTCAAAAGCAAAGCCATCTCTTTTAGACTTCTTGTATTTGATCTCTTTTTCATCTCAGCAAGCTCAGGAACATCATTCATATGCTTTTTTGAATATACGCACAACAGGTTCCTAAGACAACATTAGGTTGAGTAGGTGTAAGTTATCTTGACGTATTTGGACGAATATAAGAACGTGGAGCATTTATGCCAAATAGTAATTATATGACAACCTTCCCATGCTGAAAGGCTTGCAAAGAGGATCTGTTATAACTCTATCCCCTGCCACATAGATCTGCATCAAACTATTCAATAACTGGACCAAAGGGAACATTTTCATGGCACATGGTTTCAATTTATAAAAGCAAACTTACTATGTTCTCAGAGATATGGGGATTTGTGGTTTCAAGCATCAAGGCGATAACAGCTGGATCTGCTTCTGTTTGATGGTTCGAGATCAAAACCACGTTTTCACCCTGATGGTTGATGTAAAAGTAAATATTAGGCTCTTAAAAAAATCAAGATTTCATACAGAAGAACCACAAGAAAGCAATAAAGTACAACATGAACAGTACTTGAGTGAGAAAAAATAGATGTAGAAGTTAAAAATGAACTGTTGTAGCTTTGATTGATAAATAAAGAAAATCAAGAAGATTTCTGTCCCCTCAACCCCTGAAACCTATCAGGGGCTCTTCAACATTACCAAATCATAAATTACTGGTTGGGATAGGATCATAGCAATGCAAAAGGCAGACAGTGGTTTACACTCTTCAGGGTATTGGTGTAATTGTGCTGCAGAACTGCAATAATATGGCATTTCTCTGATAAAAAAGAAATTCGCTTGTAACAGTAAAATCATAATGCAGTTGATAAAATTACAAATGACTTGATCACAAGGATTGTGGCGTATAGTGGTTGAGGTCGCGGGTGATGTGGTGGAATATCCCATCTACCCAGGGTTCGATTCCAGGGCGTACACAACAACTGTGGCCACTGAGTTTGTCGCGGCTGATCTCTTGCAGTCACAATTTGTGGGGATTAGTCCAGGCATAGCCTGGACAACCTCCCAAACAAAATTACAAATGACTTCCAAGAATTGACAAAGACGATAATGCCATATTAAAGATAAATAGTTGTGGTTTAAAAGACGACTTTTTGATTTGAAAAGGTTAAATGTTAACCGTTAAGAAACTTTGGAAGGGTTTTCGCATTGGAGGATGTTTTTGAAGATAGGTTTCTGTTAAAAAGAAGTTAGTGGAAAACAGAGGTGGCAAAACCTATAAGTAATCATTTAGGTCGACCATTGTGGATGCCCCAAGTGAATTACTTAGGTAATAACAGACAAGCAGACCAGGTTACATTTCATGATTAGAATACTTCACTTCTATGAAAAAGAGGAAATGCTTGGAAGAGGGGGTAATGAGCCCCACTTGTCCTTCTGGGAATAAACAGGACGTATGTTTGTTTCTTTTCTGTCTCTTCAGTTCCCAGATCCAACCTTCCAATTTTTTTCCCAAATTCACTTTTCAAAACATTAAGGAACCTGTGAAACCACATCATAGGAGATGAAATTTTCACTCCACAAAATATATTAGAGGTGGCTTTTCAAACACAAAATAATAAATGGATAAACACCAAGCTAAAGGAACAGGCCTAGTTCATACATATAAAAAGCATATCAACTGCCAAGTTGGACTGAAAGAATCATATAATATAGAAATAACAGTGAAAGCCAGGCACCTGCTTGAGCTGCTCTTCCATTACACCAAAAAGGGAGACGTTGCCAACATATGATTCCCTGATAATCAAATACGTCTAGGATTAAGAAAGACAACAGATACTTGCAGATTCTTATCATAAATTAAATAGAGCTGAATGGAAAAAAAATATTAGATCAAAGTGCAGTTACTGAAATTTAGAGCAACTATTATAGTCTGCAAAGGTTACGTCTCTGGGAGCCACTTCTAAAGGTTACAGTGGAGTCGTTCACAGAAATTGACGCAATATTCGTGATGAAAGATGAATTATCGGTAAGCATAAGGAGATGGTAGTTTAGACTTTGTGCAATGCCTTAGTCCATTTGATGGGATCAAGCCTTACGACTAAGTGGCATGCTCTCTCTCTTTCACCTGTACGAATTCCAAGGCTCATTTGGGACAGGTGGAAGAAATGCTGGTGCAACATTAGTTTGAGCATTCAGGCGGATGCATGGTATACCAAGTTGCATCTGCATTCTGCAGTGCAGGGCACGAGTTCAGTTGACTCAGATGGCTTGGGTTTTTCAAAAATTCAGAAAGGTAGTTATTATACACTTATACTATACTTGGGGGCCATTTACGGAACACTTACTGAGTAAGGGTTACCCGAAAGAGTCACCACTCTCATTTACCATATGAGGTAACATCTCCGGCCATCAAAATGTACTATGGGTAAGCGTTTATAACCCAGTAGGCGCTTACTGGGTAAGACCTATCACCCTCACTTACCAGGTAAGGCTATGTCTTCCTCTTACCGGGTAAGATTCTTGCTCCTTGTTATGTTTACCCGGTAAGCTAATTATAACGGTAAGCGCTTACCAAGGTAAGTGTTTCGTAAACGGCCCCTTAGTTGCAACCTCCGTCCAACATTAGTTGCACCGATACTATTGGCATGCATCTTTAAGAGCACATCAGTCCATCACTATGTAATTGTTTGACGAGTTCTATTCAAGTACATATATTTAAGTTCTAAAACAAAATTCTTATAAAAAACAAAACTCTGAAACAACTATACTTTCAATGAACACAAAAAGCTCCAAGGCAAAAAAGTATCGCTGCAATCAAGATGTGATGGATGAAATATTGTTTATTTGTGGTGAAACTTAAGGACTGTGATGATTCCAGTTCATGGGAGACCAATATGATGCAAGCTCTCTTCACTAATTATCTAAATATTTAAGATTTTGTGGGCTGGCACCGTCTAAGCTAGATCCAGTCAGCAAACAATTGTTCAGGCATTCAAGATGTACCCAAAATTACACCACCTAAGCTACATCCACCCAAAACATGGGTTATCACATTTTAGATGTCCAGGCTGACAGCACAAACATGATGATAAAGCAGATGGCACACGAGAAAGACAAGCAGTTATTGATTTTAAAGAAATAGCATGCCATATATGATCAGATTAGAAAGGAAAAAAACGTGAGCCCACATGTAAAAACCACCAATATCACGATAATGATAACACCTTCTAATTCTTTTTTAGCATATCAGGTGCCCTTACTTGATCTCAAAGGGATGGCATCCACAAAGTTAAGTCCATGATAAAACATAAGGGAAAACTGCAAATTTGATTTAACCCTGTGCAAAGAAGTCCATAATATTTATTTTTTACTATATAAATGGATTCCTTAAGTCCATCTGATTGCTTAAACCAACTTATGAAAATAATACTTCTAATTGGATGTTGGGATTGGCAATTATCTTCTCCAACACCATGTCCTGTTAATGACAGCTAACTCGGTCAAAACTCAAGTTGCCTTGGGTCCAGCAGCGATACTAGACACAGGGAGACCATGTCCAGACCCAGCAGAAACCTTCCCCTACTGTCTTTAGTCACATGGTATAAAAATAATGACAACAAAACACAAGGATTATTAACTAACCTGAAATTGACCAAAGGCCGAATATAATTTTGACCAAACATATAGTAATTAAAAGGTTCCAAAATAGCTTCATGATATGGTGAAAATTCAAATGGCTCCTGCAAATAAGTAACATATTATGAGATGAATCGATATGAAAATGTTTTAAGTCGGACATATCAATACGCATCATCCACACAAACCTTCACATCCAAGAACATACGGTCAAATGCTATACGCATGTTTGACAACACAATATCTTCTGCATGAGGATCCCCACTTTGGAAAACCTGAGAAAGACAATAATGCAAAACTTATGAAGTTGTTGACGAAAACCAAGTCTAAGTAAACAACAAACTACAGCACAGAAACATTAAAAAGTTGTTGCTCAGAAATATAAGTGTCCACACTGCAAACTGAAGAAAGCACCAAGATCATTCCGACAATTGCTAAACCAGACCAATTATCTAAGCAATGTGGATACAATTTTATCTCCAAGTTTTCTTATTAAGCAGAAAGTATTGACTCTTAACTGACCAACTCGTCTAAGAGATTAAACCGTTGGTGTGACGGCCAATGATCATAGTGATTAACTTTTAATGCGACAGCCTTGGCCTTTTTGGGGCTCACATAAGAAAGGGCAAAGTAGGCTATATGCGGAGACCAAACAGGGTGAAACAGCACAGATTTGGATTTAAGGATGTCCAACAAGTTCAACTTAATGGCAAAAAAGTCCAGCTACCAGAGACAAAATTTGGAGACCGTACTACAAAAAAGACATGTAAATAAGAAAAGGGTAGATCAGAATTATCAAGCCATTACCTATCCACCAACATTTAAGGTGCTAAGCAGCAAGGCAAGCTGCCAACAAAAAGAGGGCAGGTTTACACTACATATGGTACTCCTATAGCCTTATTCAGTACTCTGATGCCCTATTTACATGCATAAATATACTTCTATTTTTTTCTACATACTTTAACTTGCCCAATTTCACTTCCCATTTACTTTATTTCATAGTTAGGTTTTCCTGGTCACCATCACCTTAGCACCATTATAACTATGAAATGGTGGAACTGTGGAAGAAGAGGTTGCATAACCCCAGAATTAAAGCCACTCAAGTAATCATTGGCGTTTATGTCAATAATTTAATACAGAATATGCTGCTACTAGGCTCAAGAATGACGAATTTGCATTTAGCTTTTTAACATGCTTAATCAGCAAAAAGGAACCTTAAGGGCCTAAACTTAAGTAGAAAGCATAAATTGTAATTTGATTTTTGGCAAAGACCTATGCAACCCATTGCGAAAAAAGGGGCAAGAAGAAAGAGAAGGAAAGGAGAGACAAATGAGGACCTCGTCAGTTTCACCCTATTGCCAGAAAACACACTAGAAATATATGCTGACCAAGAAATGTGAAATTGAGGGTGGCCTTGTCAGTTTAACCCTATTGCCAGAAAACACGACGCTCTTATCCGGACAAGGAAAAATGAAGCTGAGTGAAAAGCAGAAGGATAACATCTTACTAAACTTCTTTTCCAATCATAAGTGAAGAGCATATGCATACTAGTACCCCCACCAGTTTGACTAAATATCACTTACCAAGCTTTCCCCTGATCAGCATCAACAAAAAGATATACCTCGAAAAATCTAAATTCATATCTTTAGGTCTCTTTGCAGAAGTGAAATATTGAAGAAACCAAATACTGTGCTTATACACCACTTACTGAGAAAGATACACTCAAGTGAGAAGTATGTGTTTCCCCCAACCCAAGTATTTTGTCACTCACTCAACTAAAAAGATGCCACAATAGAATTTCAAGATACAAACAAAGCATATTAAACAACAAATTCAAAGCTCACAAAAAGGTACCACAACACAATAAGGAGGAAGGCTACCCCAAAATCCACATATGCTAGTTCTTGTCTATTCTATGATGACAAGGTTCCCATCGTGGTCTGTAATGAAATCATTAGTACATCTTATTCCTACCAACAATCTCTGAGAATAAAGCGAAATCCACACATAACAAATTTTAAAATGATCTCTACTCATTCAAATGGCATAGCTATTCAATGTTTCATGCATTCTAGAAGTAAAGGAATACTACAGGAAGAGCCCAAGAAAAAATTACTGCATTTTTGTAGTTCTGATACAGCTCTTCCATTGCTTGAGCAACAGGTTTTGGCAGTGTTCCAGCTTCCACCTCTCTTTGAATTCCAGAAAGGAGATCTGCATGAAACAGTAAAACAATGGTATAAAACACATCCAGTAGATCTTATCATACCTATGCCGACAATAAGGAATGTTTACAGTTACATGAAAGCGTAAGATTTTACTCAAATCATGGGCAATTTATACGTTAAAGTAGATGATTACTCATATTATCATTAGAAACTCCAAAAGTAAAATGTAAATGAGCATTGTGCGGTGACGATAAAGATAATTAACAAGATCACCTCCAAAAGGTTCATAATAAACTTCATCATTGCCACACAATCTGTAGCAGTCCCAAAGGGTTCAAAATTCTCTATATTATATGTCTTCCTTACTTATTAACTACTGGATTCCTTTGAAATGTGATAGACTGACAGTTAACATTGTAGTTACCTGACAAAGGGCACAGCTAGCAATCTTCACATAAATCAAATAGTATATAAGAAACACAATCGAGATCTTCATTTTTTTGCAGTTGTCTACTATGAATAGACAACCTAATTAATTACTCTCTGACTCTGATGAGAAACAATCCTCTACCAATTGGATTGATGGATTGTCCAATTGGAAATGATAACATAATAATGCATAGGTCGTTAGAAGAAGTTCTAACATGTATATACATATTGTATAGCACCTAATTACCCTATTTCCTTTGTGTGGAAGAATAAGGAACCTGCCATAAATGGTAAAACTACAATTATTGTTACCTTAGCCGGAAAGATATGTGGCCTTACCAAAGGGCCTTTGGCCTAGCGGTATCGTAGCCCTTGGCCTTCTAGGAGGTCAGGGGTTCAAATCTCACCATAGGTGAGGAGGGTGTGTGAGTTTATTTGTTGCATTTGCCGTATATAAATATTATATACTTCAAAAAAAAAGATATGTGGCCTTGAAAGGCGAAGGAAGGCTGGAATGCCAACAGGCGTCTATTATGAATTCACCAGACCTGACAGTACCCGTTTGGGGAACGTCCAATGCCAAAGTCACAGAATGGGTAAGTCGCCATAGAACAAATGATTTATACAAAATTTTGCAACTGCAGTCATCCCTGAAAATTTGGACGGCTTTCCAAGGAAATCTAGCAGAATAAAGTTCCCATCACTTAAAAAAGCTGGCTTCCCATTTAAAATATGGTGTTATTATGTTGGAAAACAATCACGCTTACGTGTTATTATATCAGAAAACAAACAAGCTTACGCGTTATTATATCGGAAAACAAACTTACTTAAGATTCTTGGGATCTTCCACTCGTGTCAAGTGTCAACTAGTTTCAAGCTTGATGCTCCAAAGTCAACAAGCAAATGACCTAGGCTATATTTCTTCATGTGTACCCATGGAGATTGTTTAGACCCTTATTCCGCATCAAGTAAATGCATGTCACGAATCTCGTTATGAGAGATCCTAGGTTATACCAAGACTGTTTTAAGTTGGATGACTGAACAGCCCTTTTAAAAGTGTATAGACCTCAGCTTGTCAGAACTCAGAAGGTAAATTGTAGAACATTAACCTAACACATGGCTAAAGAATATAATTATGTGCTTCAGTATGGATTAGTCAGTTACTAAATTCCTCGCAGAAGGGAAAGAACCATTATTAGATTTCATGAATTGTGAAAATTCCAGCACGTTGATGGTACATCACTGAGAATGACTGGATAAAGAAGGAAATAAAATGCAAAAGATGTTCCTATTCCTTTAGTACTTGTCCTTAGAAATTACCTCAATTGTCAATTTCTTACGTATCTAAATGCTTCCCAATTATAGATTCATTAATTTCAAATGTATCAAAAGAAATATTTTCACTCTCCGATATGTGCATTAAATTTAAGAAATCTGAAAAAATCATACTGCCAAATAGAGCATAGACAAGTAACCAACAATAGATAACATCTCAGAACCTGCTGTCTTCAAGCCATGAATAATTTGGACACCACAATCGAAGTACATGCATGATAATATTTAAAGATTAAACATCTAACGATAATGATAAATACCATATCCAACTATCCTCACTCACAACAAGCCACATGACATCAAGAGTCCTATCAGCCGAGGCAGTGTTGCCCAGCAACTGAGTAATGATGATGGATCGACCCCCCAAACAATACCAACAAGCATAATCACTAGATTAAAATCATCAGTAAAACAAGCCAAAGCACCAAGAAATTTCAACAAACATAATTAGTTAATTATTAAATGTCAATGGTTCAAACCTACTTAAACAAACCAAACAACATCAAGATAAGGTACATAAAGCCATTCATTCAGGAATTAATCTAGAATATAAATCAAGTAATCAAGAACGTTTATCACATTAAAAATCAGATAACAAAACTTCAAAAGATAAATAGTACTAAAAAAATCGTTCAGGAATGTAAGACACCACATAGACACGGTCGTACAACCAATTTCCCGCAGCAAGGTACAGTACCTCTTGCAGTACTAACAGGGGAGAAGCTATTTTAAACTATTTCTTGTCTGTCTCAAATCAGAGCGTGCATTTGCATAATTACACTTCACAGACGGTCAGAACGCAACTACGAATACGTCAAACCTCCAACGTATTTAAAAAATCGGCGATAACGAAGAACTCAATTCACCGTCACTTCTTCATAATTGAAAACAAATGATCGAACTTACTGAATTGAAATAACAAATCAAAAAATACAAACGACGAATATCATCACAATCAATCTCTTGAAACTTCATCTATCCTCACTCTTATTAGTCGAAATAGAGCCAAGGATTTAAAATATAAAATAAAAAATAAAAAAACAACACACGCCTACCTACGTTATCCTAGTAAACACACACACACTGTAAATTCATTTTATAAACAGACGCGGAATCCGCTACCTTGTTCGGAACGAGCATCGATGAATGTACGAGAGTAACCGTGGTCGGATCCAGAATGCGGTTGTTGAGTGGAGGAGGAGGACGACCACTTGTTGTCTCGAACAGTTTCCGCCATGCCATGGGCGGCATTCGGTGGCGCAGAAAACACCAAACATGGAAAACGCCGGAAAATCGGGCGAAAGCGCGAGGATAACGAAGTAGAAGGTGATAGAGAAACCCTAGGATTTGTGGTGGAGAAGAAGAGAGTATGAGAAGGAGAGAGGATCGACATAGTGTAGTAGAGAGAGAGAAAGTAGTGGTAGTAGTGTGTGTGTGTGTGAGAGAGAGAGAGAGAGAGAGAGTGGGGGGGAGGTGGTTTATATGGTGGCGTTGTTATTAAAGTGGTGATGATGGTGATGGTGGTGGTGGTGGTGGTGCATTGGCGGAGATGGAGTGTGCGCACGTGTTTATCATCGAAAACGAGGGGGAAGGGGATCGAGAGATTGGATTAGCTGACGCCGCCTGTAATGGATGCTTGAAACCAACTAGCAAACCGTTATAACCCTATTTCCTTTTTCCTTTTCCTTTTTTATTATTTTGTTTTAAAGTTTGTTGTAAAATGTCAGAAAAATTGCATCAAAATGTAATCAAATTTCACTTGATTCCTATTTAATGATCTTTATCAAATTTTTTGTTTATTTAAAAAAAGTTTGTTGAGATATTAAATGTATTTTCAAATAAATTTTTTAAAATTAATAATAAATTTTTTAAAATTAATAATAAATTTGAAGGTATTTTTTATTGTTTCACCCGGTACACACTCATTCTATCTCCCTTAAATTTGTTGAAAGTTTGTTGGAGTATTAAATGTATTTAATATTTTAATAATATAACTAAGAGTAAATTACATGTGTTGGTCTCTATGTTATGCATCATTTACAGTATTGATAAATAAAACAAATTCATTACATACCAGATAAGTCTCTCAAGTCAACAATGGTAAATATATGTCTACTAGTCAAGTCATGTGGGACTCATGTGAGGGGAAAATAGGTCATTTTACCATCAAATACATTAAACTAATGGGGTGTTTGAGATTGTTTATTTGAAACAATTTATGTTTTTCTATAAAAACACTTATTATAAGTCATAAGGGTTTAACTAATTCAAAATTTTCTTATTACCGGTTTGACACCAATATAAGTTGTTTATCCAAACATTCAAAAATGTTTATTACCGGTGTCATACCAGAATAAGTAAATAAGTTGTTTTTATAAGCAATCTCAAACACCCCCTAAACTTACTTTATGAACCCCCACCCCCTCCTTAACTTTTTTTCCTACGAAACTGCTCCCCATTCCGTTTCACGAGTGGAGAACCCCCATCTCGTTGAGTTGACTCGAGTTCACTGCCGTCGTCATCATGGTTGGGTGGTGCAAACAAGATCTATCTCATTTATAATTAAGCTGTTAGTTTCCTAAAAATTAAGCTTTCAAATTTCCAACGTAGATACTTTAAATTTTGTTATGAAATTAGTAGGATTACTTCAAATAAATACCACATCTTTAATCCTTTAATAAACCATTCGGTTCATACAAAATACGCAATTTTAATCCCTTAATCGCAACAAAATGGCTCTCAAAACAAAACTTTTCTTCTACCATATGTCGGAATTTGCGATCGTCATATTTTTTATCAACAAGAATAAAAGATCTTGTTAACAAAAAAAATGACAAATTGCATTAGAATAGAATTCGAATAAGAAGAGACCAACTTCCAAAACGTATATTTTTATGTCCAACACAAAACATTTCAAACTAAAAAAATTAATTATAAATTTTCAAAAATAACAACTTACTTTCATAAATTTCATTATTATAATATTATATTTCCATTCGTCATTATTACAATAATTTACATTCAAGTTATTTTTTATTAGAACATTGTACTTTAAAAAAATTACTCATTGTTGTAATAAGAGAAAAATAGAAATACAATGTTATAATAAGAAAATTAATGAAAGTGTGTTAATATTTCATGCATTTAACCCTTTTTAGAAAGTAAGATAATTATTTAGGAGCGTTTATCAATGCTTACTGAATAAACGCTTACCGGCAAAAGTTATCACTTCATTTATCTTATCGGGTAACATTCTGGATCATAAAATAGTTCTTTTGAGATTCAAATTTTTAAAAGGTTCAAAACAATTATCCTATTTGTCAATACACAATTCAAGACTCAAAGCATCACAAAGCAATACCCCAAGAGATCTATTGCTATTTGCTACTCCCTCATCAAAATGCAATCATGTCAACTTATCCAAGGAAATTCATAATCACCAAATGCAGCACCAAATTGCACAAAACGAAATCCGCAAATGCACGTTCCGGAGGTAAATCCTGCAAAAAAAGGATTGACAAATTAACATCCAAGGACATGGAAGTTGAAGTTGCATGCATACAATATTGTGCAGAAAGGATATGACGCCGTCATCTGAAGCCCCATTTGTACTGAACCCACGGCCATCATGGGGTGGGTAGTGAATGGAGGTGAACCACAAACCTCCCACTCATTCAGTCATTTTGCCCACTAGGCTAAAACTACTAAAACAAATGGGATATATGCATACAATATGCTCGGTCATTCTGTAAGGATGCACACCTCATTACCCACTAGCTAAAACCACGGGGACTACATGCATACGATATATTCAGTCATTCTGCAAGGATGCACACCTCCTTACTCCCTAGGTTAAAACCATCGGGAATATATGCACATGATATATTCAGTCATTCTGCAAGGATGTCCACCTTACCCACTAGGCTAAAACCACGGGGACTATATGCATACGATATACAATTTCAGGATTGTATTTCTAACCACAAGAATCCCTATTCGACACAAGGGGTTAACAGGATTATTTCATCCTTAGTTCAAGGCAGGAACGACCAACATACCTTGAATTCCTTGTTTTCTTTGTTCACTTGTATACGGAGACAAACTGTACAAAGAGATAAATAATGAGTTGCCAAGACAATACCCTAGAATGAAAATGGCAAGAATCCATCTAAGATAAATGAACCTATATATATTAAGCTTACCAGCTAGGACGGCTGTCCCTACACAGGAAAGCACACCCGAGAGAAAAGAGTTGAATGGAAACGACCCAACTATTGCCATGTAAACCACCTGGTAATAAACAAAACACAAGTACTCTTTGTTTGAGTTTGTTTTATTTAAATAGAGAATAAAGATAAAAGACGGATAAAGATGCTTCTGAATTTGTTCTTGTTTTTCTGCTTCAAGAAAGTGAGTTCATCTACTGCTACCTAATACTTGTTTAGACAGACTTGATATATAATCCCGGACCCTATCTCTATGTGGGATATACAGGGTCCGTTTAGTTTTTAATTACTATTTAGCAAGTAAGTGGTCAAGTGCTAATACTTTTCCATGTCAAACTGACATAGACACCATCCTACCCTCCGCAGGTCCCAAACCCTACTGGGTTTGTTTGGTTTGGGTTGGTATTACTATTATATGGGTTCCATTCATATCATGTGAGGAAAAATGAACATTTTTGTGGGTCACTAAACAGTAGGAGCACTATCATTATTAGTACAAGCACAGCAGGTGAAAAAAGGGGACATGATTACCACTTGAAGTTTACTCATGTGATCACCGTTGACAATTTTCTGAACAAATTGATGAATGGAACCACTTCTTTGAACTATGCATGATGACCCAAATCACTCTAACTTGAACTCCTAGAAAACTAGAAAAGATGGCAATGATCCCTAGGCCCATAGTTTTAGGAATCGACTATCTGCTCAATCTCTAAAATAACCTTCAACAGCGACAAAAAGGGGATCTTGAAAACATTTGTGGATAGGGGAATCAAAATCTATATTTCAGGAGTATTTGTGCACAGCGTCGACAGGCATAACCAACTTATTTAACCATGTGATAGACTGATGAGAAATTCTTTAAGCAACTCAAGCAATAACTGGCAACAGATGTGTCAACCATAACTTTGACCTCCTTAAAGACCATTCATATGTAGATAGAACTATAACACAAGAGCCCACGATAGAGATATGATCATGCAACTGAAGGCATATAAACTATAAGTTCGATTCAAATATTCAAAACCAAGAAACTTGATGAAGTTTCATACTTCATTAATGAAGAAAGACAATGAAACATAAACAGAGAACCGTCTGCGTTTCACAAATCAGCTGTAAGTTGTAGTTCAATATAATGCTAGACACAATTAATCAATGGAATTGGAAGAACTGCTCTCCAGTTTTCATGAAAGTAAAGAAAGCGGCAAATTCAGTCCATTTAGAGCATTACTGAAGTCAAGCAGAAACCAAACCCTAATAACATTTACACCAAAATGGAAATTCAAAAATCGTCTGATCGAATTTTACGACTTTCAAAAATGAAACAAAATCCTATCGTAAACCGAACACGATTACTACATTGACATTTTAATCAATCGCCACAGAGATTACAACATCATCATCCATGGTGAGATGCAAGCTTCAATCTGAAATTTTGTGTAAATCGATCTTAATTAGGTACTAAAACAAAAAGACGAATACCTGAACTAGAGCGGTGAACACAGCAAACACCACGTACAGATCTATGATCTAGAAAAAAGAACCCAGAAACACGTCAGTTCATTCAGATCGTCAGGATACATAGAAATCAAAAAACAAGAATTTACATGATTAGATCGACGAAAAAAAGAGAAACCTTCAGATTAGTTGGAGTAGCGGAGTAAGCAGATCGGAGAGACTGAAAAAGAGCCTGAGCATCATCTTTCGTCGTCGGCGATTTCCCCATTTTCTCTTCTTTCTCACACACACACACACACACCAAACCACAGTTTCTATGCGTTTACTCTCAACAATGGAGTCAAATCGAAAAAAAAACCCCTTTGGGAGAAAATCTCTGATTAGGTATACAAGTGAATATTTATAAATGTAAAACGAAGATATAACATCAAGGCCTATTAGCTCAGTTGGTTAGAGCGTCGTGCTAATAACGCGAAGGTCGCAGGTTCGAGACCTGCATGGGCCATTATATTTTTGACACCTAAGTTTTGTTTTTTACAATTTATACCCCAGTTTTTGTTTATTTTTTCTTCTCGTCCTGTTTACCTTTTCTGTTTTCCTTTTTGGTCCCTTTTTATATTTACAAAATAACCCCTTTTCATTGCATATTTTTTACTTTTTGATCCATTAATTTTTTTCATGCAATTTATCCTTTAAGAAATCTTGTTATGTACATTAAAACTAAAGAGCCGTTTACCTAAATGTTTACCCGGTAAGCGCCTAATGTTAGGAGAGTTAACACTATAATTTATTTTATGGAGTAAGACTGTAGTACATCAAAGTGGTACCGTATGCAACAATTTACCCGGTAAACACTTACCCGGGTAAGAGTCATCACCATCACTTACCAAATAAGCCTCTTCTTCTATATCATTACTCTTACCGAGTAAGATTTTTGACTTGTCATGTTCATCCAATAAGAAAAATTACCTGGTAAGTACTTACTAGATATGTATTTAGTAAACGACCCCTTAATTGATGCACTTTGTCAATATATTAATAAATAGACGATAAACAATTTTATATATTCAAATATGATTTCTCTTATTTTCTAATAAATGTTATCACTTGTGTACATGTCATGTTATATATTGTTGTTTTTAATACGTTACAATGTGTTTATACAAGTAGTAAAATATGAGATCAATTTATTGTACGTATTTATTTAATCCGTGTTTTAAAATATGTATTTTATCTATACTACCTTATAAATCAGATTTATCAAAAGTTTTAAAAACAATTTTTAATGCACAAAGTATTATACATTTATGTACAAAGTCTTAAAAATCTTAAAAACAACTCATAATGCATTAAATACTACTACTTTATGCATTTAGTCTTAAAATCTTTTAATTTACAATTAAAATAACATATAGTACAAGTTACCAATGCATATTATTACATTTTCTTTTCATGTTCCCAATATACTTTTGACATGTTTCACTCGTGATTTCATCATGTCATACCTCTATGTCTTATCCCCATCTCCCAATGTGAGATTCAAACTAATATTTACCATGAGTTGTTAAAAGTTCTTTCATTCATTTCTCATCCAATTGCTCAGAGAACTTTTGGTCTCGCTCTCGATCTTTTGATTCTTTGCTCTTGGTGTAAATTGAACACGTTTATGAAGTCGTTTAAATATGTTGGATTTTAAATATATTGGATTTTTTTCATCGATAAACAATAATTGTAACCATAACTCTTATTTATTCAAATTGTATTAATATGTAAATATCAAGTGTAACTTATATCATCGGTAAATCTTCTCCAATAAAACTAGTGAAACTTCAAAATCGTTAAAATTCACGGCTCCCACCGCATTGCGCGAGTACATAACTAGTGTTTGATAAATTGTTTAGTATGCATATTTTAAGACCCATTCACACTTTATAGTCCAAAATTTATATAATCAGTTTTGATACGTTTTTTTATGACGTATCTTTTTCATTAATTAAAAATGTTCTATTTTTCGTATTTTATTCATCTTTTTTATACTGTTGTCAAAAAGTTCTTGTCGTACATCGGTTTGAAACGTTTGATATTATCACTTAAACACATAAAGTGTCGTTTATTCACCTTATAAACGTTTGATATTACCACTTAAACGAGTATTAGGAAAAAGAAAGATGGCCGATTACGAAATCCCGCTCGATTTGATAGGCGAACCGCTTGAAAGATTTATCCGTGCCACGACAAGCTTCACCAAACCTCTGAGTTCTCTACCAGCCGTTGATCGAGTTTTAGCTCCTCCTATTTGTGTCGATGATGTTGCAGTGGCTGCAGTAAATGCAGTAAGAGAGACGATTTTTTGGCATTTTTACAACCGGTCAAATTAAGGAAGCTGTCACTGGTGTGAAAGCGTACGCCCGTGCGATCGTGGCATAGTCGATGATGCGTGTATATATAATTATTATATCGTATAGCTTAGGGATCTTCATAAAAACTACCGCTCTACTCATTGGG